AGGGTTTAGGCCAGGACAAGCAACAGGGAATGGAGGGTTCATACCTGCATGACGGCCCTGTGCTCATAGGCCGCCACACATGCTCCGGTCTCGAAGTAGGCACTCTCCGGCAGGCGCATGTGATTCAGGCGCGTGCGGTCGCGAATGAGAGACAGGCGCCTGCCCATACACATCAGTTCAGCGGTGGCAAAAGGGCAGAAACATGTCAGTAATAGGACAGAACTTATGGTTTGAGTAAATGTGACGAAGAGCAACGAATCCAATCCCCAAAACACAGACCTGTCCATCTGTTTCACACGCCGCTTCTTCATCTTGCGCACGACAGCCACAATGTGGCTCATGATGCCCAGGTCCGCCTGGTGCATGATGTCAGGCATCACCACGAGGTAGGGATTGCCCCACGCGGTCCCTGGGACATCCCACTTCCAGAGCACGCACTGGAAATGGGGATGTGGTGGGGAATGGAGGAGAGATGTACGTGAGAGTGGATAGCTAACCTAAACCACAAGTGGGGTGAGTTCAATGGGGCAGAGCACATCTGGCAATTCATGACGGGGCGGGCGAGAGCATAGACTACTCATGGGCCGGGGAAACAGGTCACTCACCTCAACAGGGTAGGTAGAGTAGGCCTTGCACGGGTCAGCCTGGCTAGTTGTCGTCCCAGCCGCCTCGTTAACGATCCATTGCTGCTGTTCAGGCGTGCGCGGCGTGTTCCGTGCCTTGACAGCACTCAGATGCTCCTGTTGTAGCACGGGGGTGAGGGATGGGATAGAAAAGGTAAGGGTGGTAGCTATGTGGGTTCTATCAGGCGACCCACAAACGAGAATGTATTTGAATGCGTGCAGATGGCATGTGACCTCACCTTTGCAGCATAGCAGATGCTGCACGGCATCCGCGATCCATGCGAGAGTATGCAACTGATCTTGCCGCTCTCGGGGTAGTCGCACACCCAGGCGTACAGCAGGGGCCACACGGTTTGCCAATCACCGAAAGGGTCCCTGAGACGGAACCCGCTGCAAGGAACAGGTAGAGGGGCAACAGGAATTCGATTTACGGCTTTTAGGGAGGAACGACGAGGGGCAAAGGGCCATGCTACATACAGAGAGGGTTTGCATACCATGCAGGTGGTGAGATGATGTCTTAGCAAGATGCAAACCGAGTACGGACCTGGCGATGCCATCAAGAAGCGGCTGCAGCACGGTGATGACGCAACGCTGGAAGAGCATCACCTTCTCCACGGCAGACATTGCAGACGGGGGGATAGGAAGGAGGGCAAGTAGTGTGTGCCCGGCTTTCCCCCATCGCTTGGCCTGGGAGATGTTGGCGAGCGTCATCATGAGCGGCCACGCCTTCTTCCGGCCGTTGATGCTCATGTGCGTCACATCCGAATATAAGATGATCCCCCCCACAACTTCGGACCAACCGAAGTGTTCCTGCAGTGCACGACAAAGCGGCATCGGACACACGGTTTAGGGCTCAAGATGCTCTTGACAGATCAATGCAGCGATGGAGGCATGAGGAAGGATTGGGTTTGGGGTGGCAACGTGGTCTTTCCTTACCTGAGCATCGTTCCACCACGTTCCTGTTTCAGGCGTGGTATAGCGACGGCCGCCTGCGTCAGGGTCAACACGCGCCTTGAGCTTGAAGCCGGGCGCGTTGTTGGGATGTCCAAACATTTCAGCGAATGCCTGGTGTACGGTGGCGAAGGCAGGTGAGAGGAGAGGCATGGTTAGTGGCGGTGAAGGTGGGTGTACGGTTAATACAAGGATAACTACGTACATGCAAACCCTGTGTGCCTCATCATCATTTCACGGCCTTGAATGCAAAGTCGGCTTACTTGGGCTGAGTTCTGAAAGAGCAAGCGCTGTGGTGGATGACCGTCAATCTCGAAGGTCGCCACCGACCATCCGCGATTGAGCCCTGCCAAACGCTCCATCTCGAACCGCTCCAGATCCTTACAGTTCCGGAGCTCCGAGATCACAAGAGGCGCAAGGCCGGGCTCTACGACTAGCTGAAGCAGGCCGTTGATGTCAACCTCGGCCATTCCCATTCCGCCATTCACGCGCCGAACAAAATGCAGCAGCTTCAACGCGAGCGGATTGAGGGGCGTGGCATTGCTCTGTCCGGAGATGATTGTTGGCGGCGCGGCATGACTCCCTTCGGGCTGGCTCTCAGGATGGTCACACGTGTCAGCCGCAGGAGCTCCTGGTTGTGGTTAATGTTCATCTTCAGGAGGCCCCTCGTTCACGTCGTTGGGAGTTTCGTCAACGTGAGCTTCAGGCACGCGTGGAGGACCGCTCACACTGACGGCGTTGGATGCGTTAGACACTGTAGGTGAACCGGGAGCGGCTGGAGCGTCCGACAGAATGTCGTGGACGAATAGCAGAGCGTGAAGACCGGCGGTCGGTGCAGATCGCGTCGGCCTTGCCACGGCGGATAGTCCTTGGCAAGGGGTCCGCCGTGACTTATGACCGCCATAAACTTGGGCGTTGGGGAACCATCTGTTGCAGAACTCGCAGACGACGCCTGGTAAAGAGCCCATGTGTTACGGATCCGTTGTAGAGTCGAGAAATCGCCTATGAAGCTACTAGCCGTGATGAAGCTTGTGAACGCATTAAGTACTCCGTTCAAGAAGCCTGTGACAGCTACACGATCATCGCCAATGCGCGCACTGTGGTGGGCGGCTTGTATCACTGCACGACTGGCACTTGACATTGGCGCTAATGTTTATGACTGGCTAACGATGTCGAGCCGCGTGGTCGTTACCAGGCACGATACAGACCGCCCACCTCACGGGCCGTCTTCCCTACAAGGCGTGTCGCCCCCGTTTAGAGTGACCACGACGTGAGCAGAGGAGAATGCGGAGGATCTTAAGTCTCATGGTCGTGTGTGTGCGTCGCGAGCACGGTGAGAAGGACGTGCCTATTGAGTCAAGAACTTGTGTTTAGGAACCGTGCGTGAGAGTCGAGGGGGATGAGGAAGAGCGGGAAGATATCCGTTTGGATCTGTGATTGTGTCGCGAATCGATATAGGGGGGAAATCAGAATCACGTAGGTGAGCTCAAGAGGCTTCAAACAAACATGGAAATGCAAATGTACAATTACAACTTAACAAGACACTCAAGTCATTCATAACTAGTAAACATTCATATCCTTAGGACTGATGTTGAACAACCCTTACTTGATAACGATACGGGAAGTACCCAATAACTCCATGCCCTAACGTATGATTGTTGCGTGGAGCGAATACCTATAGCGTGTCTTCTCTCGAGGTGAAGTGTACCTCTACGCACCGTGCTGAATGAATATGCAAGAATGGATGACAATGTCGTACAATAACACAACGGTTTCAATGTCCATGCAATGTTGGATGACAATGCAACACCATACCACAACGGATTCACCATGTCGCGCAACCCGCAGGCCTGAACGCTGCATCGTCGCACAGTCTAACCATGTCTGTCGATAACGCATCTACGCTTGTGCGTTGGGCCTGTGCTTCATACAACTCCTTCTAAGCACCTTGTTTAATGTCTGTGCAAGAATGGATGCCAATGCAACACCATACCACAACGGATTCACCATGTCGCGCAACCCGCAGGCCTGAACGCTGCATCGTCGCACAGTCTAACCATGGCTGTCGATAACGCATCTACGCTTGTGCGTTGGGCCTGTGCTTCATACAACTCCTTCTAAGCACCTTGCTTAATGTCTGTGCAAGAATGGATGCCAATGCAACACCATACCACAACGGATTCACCATGTCGCGCAACCCGCAGGCCTGAACGCTGCATCGTCGCACAGTCTAACCATGGCTGTCGATAACGCATCTACGCTTGTGCGTTGGGCCTGTGCTTCATACCACTCCTTCTAAGCACCTTGTTTAATGTCTGTGCAAGAATGGATGACAATCCAACACCATACCACAACGGATTCACGTTTGTTACTATTGATAATCGTGTTAGAATGTCGTCCGCTGGCCCTAAACCATTGTGGCAAAGCCTAAAAGTGCACAGTACATCTGTCACAAGTAATAATTCTGGACGGTCGTTGTGTGTGTGACGTAAGAATCACCGATTAACTTACCCCAACCCCATGGTAAACCATTTGCAACTTAGAGTTTGATGAAATGCATTGTTGTATGTTTGAATAAAATTTAGTGATTTATGCGTTGGCAACCGTGATTGGCCGACGCATCTCAAACGATTCCCCCCGCAACACAGTCATCAGCCAAGAGGTACTTCAGCCATTGAGCGGCTGAGATCGAGCGGTAGGTGGGTTTATGCTAGGGTGGCTACACGTACACCGTCCAATATAGCCTGATAGGGTTACATTACTCTCTCTAGTCTCGCAACCCACCCCAACCACCCTCGTGTCCCACCCACCTGCTTCCGTCACTCCCTGGACCAACACTTTGACGCTGCTCGTTGCCTTGACACACGCCTCTCCAGATCGGCCTTAGCGCGAAGCATAGTGGCTACTATGACAGATTTAGTTGAAGCGGCGGTTTTTGGAAACACATAACAGTGATAGACCGTCGATAATCCCATCGTGGGATTCAATTGCAGAACCCTTTCGAAACCGGCTCAACCCTTCCGCGCGATTTGCAACTTTGCTCCTCCTACAATTACCATGACACGTGCAACACGTAACCAAGCAATGGAGGAGGAACAGGCCGGCCGCCGCGCGACAAGGAGGACGTCTAAACAAATCGATAGGGAGTGTGGTGGCGGTGCTAAAAAAACTAATGCGTCCGTCGCTCGTGGCATTGGGCAGAAAAAAGCGGCGGCAAAAAAGGTCGCGCGCGGTCAACAGGAGGCCGGCAAGAAAGCGGAAGACAAGGGGCCTAAACCAACGCCACGCAAGCGTGTTTCTACAGTGAACAAAGATGCGGATGTTGCCTCTGCTGGAACCGAGCCCGGTCCGAGTAAAGACGGCATCACTGGCGGCAACGAAGATCCGGGGCGAGGGAGCGCGAGTCTTGCACTCCCGTCGGCGGAGATGGAGGGATCGGCGACGGAGGGAAATCACGGAGGCGATCCCCGCGCCGAGCATGCCGCAACCAAGGAGTCCGAGGCGGTGGCAACGCAACACCATCTGACGCTGCTCCAGCCGACCGTGGTCGAAGTTTCTGCAGCCGTGCTGGATAAGGACAAGGTGGGGGAGCACGAGTCGGTGGGGCTGGTCGGTGGCTCTCCACCTTCTGGTGGACGGGGGAGGCGTAGGCAGAGGAAGAGCGATGGGGAGGACGATTATGACACCGCCGTGCCCGGGGACCTCATTACACGGGCGAAGAGGCGGCAGACGACAGATAGTGCTGACGACGCCGGAGGCGCGGCAGTTGGGACACCGCGAGGCGCCAAGGAAGCTAGTGGCAAGGCGGGCGGTCAAGCATTGCGCCAGAAGGGCCGACCCGCAGCAAGAAAAGCATCCGGCGGAAGGAGAGGCAAGAAAGCAGCGACGGGAACAAAGCCGAAACGGGGCGATGAAGACCCCGGTGATGCGGAGGAGGAGGAGGATGAGGAGGAGGATGCGGAGGGAGAGGAGGATGAAGAGGAAGCGGAGGAGGATGACGCGGATGTTGGGGAGGATGAAAAAGATGAGAATGATGGCGGGGAGGACGAAGAGGAGGAGGAGGAGGAGGAGGAGGAGGAGGAGGAGGAGGAGGAGGAGGAGGAGGAGGCAGAGGAGGAGGAGGAGGAGGAGGAGGAGGAGGAGGAGGAGGAGCAGGGTGACGACGAGGAGGAGGATGTGGAGGAGGAGGAGGAGGAGGCAGCGGAGGAGGAGGAGGAGGAGGAGGAGGAGGAGGAGGAGGAGGAGGAGGAGGAGGAGGATGTGGCGCCAGTGAAGGGACGGGGCGGGCGTGGCAGACGGGTGAGTGGTACAGGGAAGGAGGGGGGCCGGACTCGCCCTTCCCGAAAACGCGGGGCAGTTGACGCTGCGCGCGGCGAAGCATCGGGCAAACCGAAGGCGCGTAAGGTGAAGGTCGAAAGTGAAGGGGTTGGTAAAAGCAAGGGAGCCAGGGAGCAAAAGGGGATGGAGGAGGAAAGGGTGGCCGCGCCAAAGGGGTTCCAGTGGGTACCAGTAAGAAAGAACCTGCCGGTAAACGTCGCAGCGTCCGCCAAAGCACCCCGCGGAAAGGTGGCAACGAGAAGGCGCAGGCTGCCCCAAAACCGAAGGGACAGCAGAAAGGTGAGCATTGTGTCCAATAAAACTGGCGTGACGTGTTGAACCATCTGCTAAACCGTGCCAAAAAACACCCTTTTTTCACATTGTTTCTCCCATGCAGGGAAGGAGAAGGTCGACGAATCTGCCAAGCAAGGTAAACCCTCTTGTCTCAAACCAGTACAACCCGAAACCCGATCTAGATTCAAACCTTTCTGAATATGCATGCATGTCTGGCCCCGCCTTGAAACCGATCGACTCTATTTTTTTTTTCCGGCTCCCTCTACATCTCAGCCCCTCGCGTTACAGGCATTGGGCCGCCCGTAAGCGTGCAACGAATGCATCTAACGAAGGCTGCCGGAAGAGCGAGTGTTACACCGCTCTCCTCCGGAGCACCAAGGTACTACACGCCATGGGCCGGCCCGAGCAAAGTCGCTGCGACGGCACCAGGCGCGCCAAGAGGAGAGGAATCCGAATCCCCTCCACCTGCCCCCGTCACGCAGTCCCCACTCGCCTCACCCTCGTACCAATTTCGGCAACTCCACGCTTCTCCTGTCCGGGGCAGGGCGGTCTCCCCTCTCGCCGATCCTTTGCGCGGGCATCAGGCAGGCAGTTATGCCAATCGCTTCCCTGAGCTCCCCTTTTCCCGCCAGCGTGATAGTGTGAGGGCACACGGGACTGCTGCAGAAGACGTTGATCCCCTTGGCCAGAGGGGGGATTCTTCACACCCTTTTCCTCCGCTCATGGGTGCCCTAGGTGAAAGTGCGGAGCACGAGCAGTTTGTTACACGGGAGGAGTTCCAGGCGCTGCGGTCTGAGATGTACGCCATGTTTGCACAGCTCGGCCTACGTCGTGGAGTACCTGCCAGCTATGCCGGCGGGTCGGCAGCCCTGCCTATGGCTGGTACCCCGCCGCCGATGAGCGCCGTGGACAAGGCACGAGTGCTAGTGTTGCAGGAGACAAACCCATTCCCGGTATGTGGCAGGCCACATGGGGAGGGTTGGGGTTGACGTGGCAACAAGGGCGGGGTTGGGGCTGACGTGGCGGTTTCGAAGGGAACACGGGAGCGGCGCGTGACGAGGCGACGCGTATCAGGTGGGTGGGGGGTGACGTGGCATGGGGTGGGTGGGTGTGACGTGGCAAGTGGCGCGGGTTGTTGGTGGACGTGGCGGATGCGGGTTGGGTGTGACGTGGCAAAAGGTGAGGGTTGGGATATGACGTGGCGGTGTGAAAGGGTGCAAGGGAGTGCCGCATGACGGCGCGAGGCGTTTCAGGTGGGTGGGGGGTGACGTGGCTCTTGGTGGGGGGTGTGACGTGGCAAGTAGGGCGGGTTGTTGGCGGATGCAAAAGGGTGTGACGTGGCAGAATGTGAGGGTTGGGGCTGACGTGGCGGTTTGGAATGGTACACGGGAGCGGCGCGTGACGAGGCGACGTGTGTCAGTTGGGTGGGGGGTGACGTGGCATGGGGTGGGAGGGTGTGACGTGGCACGTGGGGCTGGTTGTTGGTGGACGTGGCGGATGCAGGAGGGTGTGACGTGGCACGTGGGGCTGGTTGGTGGACGTGGCGGACAAGGAGGGTGTGACGTGGCGGAAGGTGAGGGTTGGGGATGACGTGGCGGATGCAGGTGGGTGTGACGTGGCGGAAGGTGAGGGTTGGGGATGACGTGGCGGTTAGAAATGGTACACGTGACCACTGCGCATGACGAAGCGAGGCGTGTCAGGTGGTTGGGGGGTGACGTGGCTTGTGGTAGGGGGGTGTGACGTGGCAAGTGGGCCGGGTTGTTGGTGGACGTGTCGGATGGCGCAGGGTGTGACGTGGCAAGTTCAAACAGTGTTGCTAGTCACCATCCCATGGTCACGCGGCCACCCTCATAACTGCTGGTTTCTCTCTTCCATGTCGTGTTGTATACCTTACACCCCTGCGCAGAACAAAGCCTACTTAGTGTGCTCTCAGCTCATGTTTCTGAACCCGCCGGAGAAAATACAGTACTACCCTGCACCGGAGGAAGTGTTCGAAGCGTTCTCTGTCCACTTGTCTGCAGAAGGGCTCGAGGCAATGAAGCTGCTGTGGTTGCACAATGACAAGTCAACCATGGGAGTCTTCAACCACCAGCTGTCCTCAACAAGGTCAACTATCAACTCCACCCTCAGGCCAGCAGCATACACCGGCATGGGCCTTGCCGATTACAGCCATCTCGTGGATAGCCTGCCCACTGAGCTACACCCAACGACCTGGTTCGACGACGATCAACTCCTAGCCGAGTACAGAGATGGTATGTGCAGTGCAACTCGAAAACACAATATGCCCTACCATATGCCCCTTGGCAGCTACATATCACCGTGCGATGTGGCTCACCCTGACTCTCATCCCACCATTTGATTTCTCTACAAAACCCTTTCCAACCCATACCCTCCCTGCCAAAAAGCAGAACAGTGGGCCCTCAACTGGCACTTTGACAAGGCCACCGGGACACCCTTCAGCAACCCCTTGTTCGCTTATGCGTTCAAGCTCTCCTTCAAGAGGGGCGGGGCGGTGTTCACCAAGTTCAAGAGCCGCATGGTGGCATGGGGCCTGTTTTCGGTAAGGATGTAGATATGTGTTTGTACCCCCATGCCTCATCCCCTTAACCCCTTGCCTGTACTTCAGCTAAAACCCTGGTCGATTAGGCCTTTGCAGTTACGTAGATAGTGACGACTGCATCACCGCTTTCAGTTGCCTCATTTACCCGTAACCTACCCTCCTCATAAACCATCCACCCAACCCTACACCACATTGCAGATCGAATGGCCCCTTCTGCAGGATAAGCGTCGCAAGCAAATCAGTAGCCAGCCGGAGCAAAACAGGCCAGACTACCAGGAGTGGTGCGAAAAGGTCAAACAGATGATCCATTTTGCTGTCGTGGAGCGGAGGATCCCCCACGATCCGGCTATGGGTGCGTTCGTCTTTCCGAACAAGTTCCTCATCGACGACGGCGACCTTGGAGATGTCGTCCTTGCCCACCGGGCGCTTTCAAGGCCCGCCAGTGCGTAGGCTATTTGACCTGGTGCTAAGACTGCTTGTTGCTAGAATGCTGAATAATGGTTCTTGTAAACCGCAATAATAAATGCAATTTTGAAATCCTCGATATCCAAAATGAACAAAAACAGAATTAAGTTTTGAATAATTTGGTCACGAATTTGCAACAAAACGGATTGCGCCCGAATGTCATCCGGAAAAGCTCGCGTGCCAAATTGGAACTTGAACCGAGCCAAACCTTGTCGCGAGATGTGTCTCGGAGCTCCTATCAAATGACTCCAACCGTCGGTCCAAATTGGCTCCGGATTTTTTTACGCGAAGACAATCGAAATCAAAATTCGTCCAAACTTGGCATAGGGTTTTTGTGATGTAGCTCCAGCAGCTCCACCTCGAGCAGCACCCCGAGCAGCTCCAGCAGCACCCCTTGCCGCAGCAGCTCCTGTACCTTCATTACGAGCACCTCCGGGACCAGGGGCCCCAACACCTCCCACAGCTCCAGCTCCAGCAGCACCACTCTGGAGGCTCCAGCGCTGACCAAACCACTCATGCAGCTGCAGTGGAGAGAGCGTCTCTCGACGGGACAAGACACCCGGAGGACCTCGAGAAGACAAAGTACCCCCAGGCGCAGCACGCTTAGGCTCAGCACTCCCAGGCAAAGCACACCCAGGTTCAGCACCCCCACGCTCCGCACGCTCAGGCTCAGCACCCCCAGGCTCAGCACCCTCAGGCTCAGCACCCCCAGGCTCAGCACGCTCAAGCTCAGCACTCCCAAGCCCCACATCCGCAGGCGCAGCACCCCCAGACGCAGCACCTGGAGCAGTACCAAAGTCGACAGCTACCTCGAAAGGCTCGACAGGGTCTAATTGGGACACACCTGAGGGAGCAAGACCCTGAGGGGGGAAGGGGTCTACCGGAGGAGGACCTGGTGCGAGGAAGAGCGGCGGGGGAGGGAGAGGGGCCGCGCGGTAGGGGAAGAGACGGTAGAAGGGAACTGACTCGTCAAACGTGACGTCCTCAGAGGGCAAGACACGGCGCGAGGCGGGGTGGTAAAACTGCCAGCCAGGCGCGTTAGGGACAAAGCGAAGGAAGACACAGGGAACGGCGCGGGAGGAGAGCTTGTCCGCGGACGTATCGCGTACATAGGCTTGACATCCCCAGACCTGGAACACCGACGCATCGCCAACCTCCCTCGTCCAACGCAGTGAGGGCGAGGTCTCCGGCAAGGAGACACGGGGCCTGAGGTTGAGCTGATGTGCAGCGCACTGGACAGCAAACGGCCATAGAAAATGGGGGGCAGCTGCATGGAACATGGAGGTACGAGCGACCTTCATGACTAAGCCAATGTGGTGCTCCGCAACCCCATTCTGCTGCGCAGAGGCCGGAAGCGTGAACGTTTGGCGAATGCCCTCCGCACGACAAAAGGCCCTCAAGAGGTCGGAGGAATACTTATCACCTCTGTCAGAGTGCAGACGTAGGATGGGAAGGTCCGTCTCGAACTGCTCGCAGAGCTGGAGACGAACAGCACGGATCCAAGGGATCAGAACATCAGGACCTCCCCCTTGCGGCGCAAGGGGAAGACCGTGGTGTAACGCGTGTAGTCGTTGACAACCAACAGAAAGTACCGCTCATGGCCCTGTCCACGGACGCGGGCTGGCCCCCACGTCAAGGTGGATATGTCAGAGGTCCATTGGTGATCCCCGATTGATCCTAGGGAAGGGTTACAGGCTCGTTGTCCTGGGGGGTTATGGGCGCACTGACCCGCTACTTAACAAGCCCTTTTATCCCAATGGTCTAGTGGTTGGGATCCTGACATGGTATCAGAGCGAAGGTCTCAGGTTCGAATCCCGGTGTGTGCACTTCGGGCATCCCAGTGCGGGGGGGTGTCAGAGGTCTACTGGTGATCCCCGATTGATTATAGGGAAGGGTTACAGGCACGTTGGCCTGGGGGGTTATGGGCGCACTTACCTGCTACACAAACAAGCCCTTTTATCCCAATGGTCTAGTGGTTGGGATTCTGACAGGATAGTCTGCAGGGGAGCCTCTGTCGGGGGGAACGAGGAGGAGTGAGGAGCAGCGCGCTGCTGCCCCTTGACACAGGGAAGGCAGGGAGGGGCAGGCGAGGGTGGGAGGGGAGGCAGAGACCTGGGAAGACCAGAGACAAGGAGACGGGAGTGCATGCCACGGAGGCATGCCACAGAGGGGTGACCAAGGCGGTGGTGCCAAAGGAGCGTCTGGTGCGACAGGGCACGACACGAGCAGGGTGCCGCAAGCTGACCTGACGCAGACGCAGCTACCTGAGAAGGTGCAGTAG